AAAAAAAAAAAAAAAAAAAAAAAAAAAAAAAAAAAAAAAAAAAAAAAAAAAAAAAAAAAATACACGTATATGCAATTTCAATTCCTAATATGAATAAATAGTTTTTATTTTATTTTATTATTATTGCGGAGCTAAATAAATTGAAAAAACAATATCACGTGCAATTAACCTATAAATGAATGACAAAGAATTATCAACAAACAAATTAAGAAAATCACAAGCTGCAAAAAAAAAAAAACCAATTGGCAAATGTATTCTAGCGATTTTAAAGCAAATGTTATAATAATTCAAATATATAGAAACTTGATGCAATGGTCTTTTGCTAGCAATTAACTAAAACATTTAATAACCTCTACAATATTAATTTAAGCATTATTAAATGACCAAACTATGTATTTTCGATGTTGAACCAAAAAAACAAAAAAAATATAATCAAATTCACTAATTTATACAATAAAAGAAATTTGGTAAGAGGTTAATGCACTCAGCCAAAAGAAATGTTATCCGCTCACAAATTAGAATTTGTAGGCCATGTCTGTTGGTACACTGGCTCCCGTTAGCTCTTTCTGAATCAATATTATTCAAGTTAATGATTGAGAAAATTAAAAAAAAAACAACAATTATATAAATGAATCTAGATTAATAGAAAATTCTGACATAACGAAGTGCCTCATAGCCTCTGTCCGATATTCCTTTGTACTTATTGAACACTGCAATAATACACATCCAACTTCATTGCTTCCATTGTCTTCTACTTCGCAAACAAATTAAAACGAAATAACAAATTCTAAATCGTAGCCTCCAAACGCATTCAGTAAAATTCTCAAACTCCTCTACAAATACGCTAAACAATAATCAGCCAAGTTAAAAAATCCAAATCTGAAAAATAAATCAAGGCACTCAAATGAACACTACACTACAATACAACACAAATTTCAAATCAACTCCACCAGTAATGGTCGAAACTCGATCAAGATAATCAAATAGAGAATCGTGTAACAAACGTACTAGAAATTAGGTTCTGTTCAAAAAAAAAAAAAACTCATCTACTTAGTAATAACCGCCAATCTTCGGCGGTTTTCAGACAAATAAAAACGCCAGAAGCCGCCGGAAAACTTCCGGCTCACGTTTCTTATTAACATCCTCTTCCTCACATCAGACGGCGCAATCCGATGCTAAAATCAGTTCGTAAACTAAAGAATTCAGAAATGAATAAAGAATAAGATAGATTGATCACCTGAAACGGAACTGGAAGTCGAGGATTGAAGCTATGGCGAAGTTTCTGATGAAGAAAGAGAGTGAAAACGGAAGGAAGAAGGAGGGGAGAAGAAAAGGAGAATGGGAGGGAAGCGTCCATGTCTCTCCGTCATTTTCCCTCCAGATTTATTTATTGAAATTATTTATTTATTATTTTTATTTGAAATTTAAATCTCAATTTAATCCCTAAACTTTTTGTTTATTCCGTTTTAGCCCTTCAAATATATTATGGTGCGAGAATTTTACTAGAAACTTCTAAATATTTTATTTGCTTTTGATATTTCTATAAAAAAAAAAAATTATTTTTTAATTGGATATATTTATAATTATATATATATATATATACCCATTTGAACCCCTCGAAATTTTCTACTTAATTTAAGATCGATACGGTATAAATATCATGAATATTGAATGCGAAAGGACTTCATTTAAATTCCATAAAACATAATATTTGTCTCCATTGACTTACGCGTTTCCAAAACACCTTCGACACAACAAAATACTAAATAAAATAAATAAATATTTAAATTAAAAACATCATATTCTAACTTAAGTCTAAGAAAATAAAGACTACTGTCTATGCATGTTTCATGGTCTCAAATTGCGATGTTGTCATGTCATATGTGTATATATATATATATATTAGGTTGAAAAAGATATTGCTAAATTAAAAATAATAATAAAATTAATATTATATTAATTATTAAAAGATATTGAAGTGGGTCCATTCTTAAATGCAACATAGTCTCATCATAGGGTGGCATGGACGTTATGATAAATTATGATAATTTAGTAATGTCAAGTTTAAAATATTAAAATAAAATCTAGAAAAATATATTTAAAAATTTAGGGACAAAAATGAAGTAGGTACAAAAATCGAGGACTATATTATTAATAATATGAAAGATATGAATTTATATTATTAGCCCGATTCCACCGCTAACAGACATTGTCCACCTCCCTTTAGGGCTTAGCGTCCTCGCGTCCCATTGTCCACCTCCCTTTAGGGCTTAGCGTCCTCGCGTCCTCATTGGCACCCGTTCCCTTTTCTGTTAGATGTGGAACCCCCACCAAATCCACCCCCTTCGGGCCCAACATCCTTACTAGGATATCGTCTCGTGTCTACCCCCTTTGGGGAAGAGCCTCTTGAGCCTCCTTGCTGACACATTGTGCGGTGTCTAGCTTTGATATCATTTGTAACAGCCCCTTTTCTGTTAGATGTAGAACCCCCACCAAATCCACCCCCTTCGGACCCAACATCCTTACTAGGATATCGTCTCGTGTCTATCCTCTTTGGGGAAGAGCCTCTTGAGCCTCCTTGCTGACACATTGTGCGGTGTCTAGCTTTGATATCATTTGTAACAGCCCCTTTTCTGTTAGATGTGGAACCCCCACCAAATCCACCCCCTTCGGGCCCAACATCCTTACTAGGATATCGTCTCGTGTCTATCCTCTTTGGGGAAGAGCCTCTTGAGCCTCCTTGCTGACACATTGTGCGGTGTCTAGCTTTGATATCATTTGTAACAGCCCCTTTTCTGTTAGATGTAGAACCCCCACCAAATCCACCCCCTTCGGACCCAACATCCTTACTAGGATATCGTCTCGTGTCTATCCTCTTTGGGGAAGAGCCTCTTGAGCCTCCTTGCTGACACATTGTGCGGTGTCTAGCTTTGATATCATTTGTAACAGCCCCTTTTCTGTTAGATGTAGAACCCCCACCAAATCCACCCCCTTCGGACCCAACATCCTTACTAGGATATCGTCTCGTGTCTATCCTCTTTGGGGAAGAGCCTCTTGAGCCTCCTTGCTGACACATTGTGCGGTGTCTAGCTTTGATATCATTTGTAACAGCCCCTTTTCTGTTAGATGTAGAACCCCCACCAAATCCACCCCCTTCGGACCCAACATCCTTACTAGGATATCGTCTCGTGTCTATCCTCTTTGGGGAAGAGCCTCTTGAGCCTCCTTGCTGACACATTGTGCGGTGTCTAGCTTTGATATCATTTGTAACAGCCCCTTTTCTGTTAGATGTAGAACCCCCACCAAATCCACCCCCTTCGGGCCCAACATCCTTACTAGGATATCGTCTCGTGTCTACCCCCTTTGAGGAAGAGCCTCTTGAGCCTCCTCGTTGACACATTGTGTGGTGTCTAGCTTTGATATCATTTGTAACAGCCCAAACATAATCTCACCGCTAACCGATATTGTCATTTTTGGGTTTTCCC